GTTTTAATAAATAAAGTTAGGTTAATTTAAATTAAAAACTTAACCCACACGTCCTTTCCGAACGTTCACGCTCACACTCGAATTGTACTGTATAGCAATCTTTACGAGGACGCGAAATACAGAAATTGCTTCAGCAGTATTCGATTTTTTATAAAAATTTTTTTAAATTTAAGTGACAAAAACAAAAACAACGTCAATCAGCTGTTTCTCAACTTCTGGACACGAGATGTGGTTTTTTGCGTTCCCATACTCCTGGAATTTGTTCCATTTCCGAAGGCAAATTTTTCGCTTATCCTCTAATTACCGGATCCGGTCCGGATTGTTATACTAGGTTCACATATAAGTAGATTATCCTCATTTTCGAGCTTAACACCCTAATCTGTAATTATAACAAGAGATTAGCCATATAAAATTCGTTCCTTGTTAATCTGTAATTATAAAATAATCTCCGATTTAACCGATAACTTTTCGGTGTCCATCCTAGTTTTATCGATTGTTTTTGCGAAAGAGAGGAGAAATGCCAAATGTAAAAGTAAACAAAAATGTACGCTAGCAAGTAAAAGAGGTTTGTAAAGGTATTTTGAATAAAATGTTAAGTTAAAATATATTTATATTGCTTATTATAGCAGAAAAACGTGATCATGGTAGCACAGAGAAGAAACATAAATTTTCCTTAAGATGTGAGAATAACAAGCACAACAAATTTGACGGCTAATAATCTGAGATTTGCCTGTGTAAACGGGGTGATTAAAAAACGAGCTTTGATTGAGATAATATTGATATGTGAACATAGTTTAAGGTAAAGAACGAGTACAATAATTTTCGTAATTCAATTTAATTGCGAACATGCTATATGGTTTGCCCAAAATACAACTCTGATAACAGCTGACTGCATTTGTTTACTTCCTGCGATTCCACCAAAATTTGATTTGGACAAGCTTTCGATTGATAAATTAAGGTAAAATTTAAGACTTTTAATCAAAGTAATTGCTTCCATATTAAATTTTCATTACAAAGATGCGTAAGCGTGAATTACAAAGCATTCCACTAAAGCTTGCCGAGCTGAAAGAGTACGATGTTGTTCGAAATGAGCGCGCAATGGCACGTAACCAAGGGCAGCAGGAGGATGCAACGCCAGAACAGCCTTCGCCAATTGCCAATGTTGGACCGAAAACAAAAAAAGAAATACAATCTCGGTTGAATACCACTTTGTGAAATAGAAAAAGTCTTTTACTTCGAAAATAAATTACAGTTAAGTAAATAGGAACATGTACATGCGTGTCATTTAACGCACCGAGAATTTGGAAAATAATATAATATCCGGCCGGTTTTTAGTGCCAGTTTAAACTTAGGTTACGTAAATTGCGCTTATATTCAACTGACTGACATTTGTAGTTGGCTATATATACTGTTCTCGGTTTGGCACTTCAGTTCAAAAGAGCCAACTGGCGAAATAACTTCTACATTGTTGAATATGCCTAGGACATTAAGATAATTTCTGTCTTTATCTTCATAAAGAAGATGAATCAACCACTCTTTTGGAAAGAGTTTGAAATTAATGTTTTCAATGTAAAATAAAAGCAGATTCAATGAAACGCAATTTTGTGTCTCCTCCGTCGTAAAACCAATGGATTTCTGGGGGCCATTTTCCTTTAGAATTGTGAAGTGAAAATGTAAATTTCAATGTCAATGAATATTTAATTTGTTCACTTTATCATTTCATCATCATACATATGTACATATATATTTAAGCGATTCTCGATCATTAAAGGCTTTTCAATTGACATCTAGCAAGTATTATCCTGCAAACCAAAGTTCGCGAAGTCTCATTCCTGAAACGATTTTTTTCCGAATTTTCAATCAAAATTTTATGAAGTTGTTGAGACGAACTCGTAAAGAAATTTCTGTACGAAANAAAGAAAGTTCTGAAAAAATTCTGCAAGAAATTTTTTACACAGCAGTATTATTTTCATTGCTTTACCGATTTTATTCCAAAATTTCGTAAAAGAATGGAAGTGTGCAGTGCACAGTTTATTTCATTTCAGAAAATTCGGAGAAAAATCGGATGAGATCTTTAAGAATTCTTTAAAATTTCTCTACAATTCAGAATATGTACTCTAAAGAAATGGTTTGCATGGTTGTGGTTTTGTGAAAAATTTCACCTTTCGTTTTACAGCGACAAATCTGTGTAAAAGTTTTCACGGTGTGACAAATTAATTTATTTCCATTTAAAAGCAGAATGCAAATTTTCTGTGGAGTTATAAAAAACGTTTTTACTTCACGTTTTCCCAAAACAAGAATTGGCCCCTTGGGCCATAATTATTATTAAATTAGTAGTGTTAATGCAAAAAGTCGTGTTTTGGAATTTAGAAAATTTAGAATTTTAGTCCGCTCAATTTGCGGTGGTGACTTTCAGAAGCTCTTTCGAATGACTATAATTTCCATAATTTTTTTTTAGTGATTAACGAACGAACTCTATACGCAAAATACTTTCGGCTTGCCATAAATTCACTGGGTTACACTCACGCGCCGGCACCAGCCCACAGCCACTCCTATACAATTTTCCCTTACAAAATATGCCTTTAAAATTGTATGCCGAAATAATTTTCTTGCCCATTAATGATTAAAAATCTTTACTATTATTATATTATTAACACAAAAATACAGTTGACATGTAATTTTATTAGAAATTTACTATTTTTTATCCTCACCCACAGCCGCTGCAAGCATGATACAAAAAAGAAGGTAGTTTCAATAAACAACTTTTTAATTAAAAAGCAGATTTTTGACAATTGCTCAATTGTGAAAAATTCGAAGC